GGAATGGTCCATAATCCCGCCAGATCATTGTCCGGGTCTGATTGGCAACTACAGGAAACCCTTGGTTGAGGTTATTGCTGCTAAAGGAGGGTCAACCAGTTATTAACCTCAAAGATTCACATCCTTTGCCCACCCTGCACTGTAAACGTTTACATGTTCTTCATTCATTTATTTTCTTTTTGGCTCAGTCCCTTTATAAATCTGGGTTCGCCACAGCTTACTAGACCCGCCAACGTATCCAGCATATGTTTTACACAGCGGATGCCCTTTCAGCTGCAACCCATCACTGATAATGGCCAATTTAGCTAACCCAATTCACCTGTACCATACGTCTTTGGACTATGGGGGAAACCGGAGCACCCGGAGGAAACCCACAACAACATGAGGAGAACATGCAAACTCCACACAGAAACGCCAACTGACCCAGCCAAGACTCAACGACCTTCTTGCTATGAGGCGATTGTGCTATCCACTGCGCCAGCATGGCGCCCTCGTTCACATGTTGTGTTCAATAAACGCACATCATATTTCTGTGGTATTGGTTTTCTGGTTGCGACTTTAGATGAAGATCTGAACATTTTATGCCAAAAGTAATCCCGAAGGGTTCACATACTTTTTCTTGCAAAAGGAAGCCCTTTTACAATGCATTCAGTATTAACCGACACGGTAGTAAATGTTTTACTATTTTGAACATTGACCTGGCTGGAAGTGCTTTGTTTTCCGTGTGGTTTTAGGTGCAATTCGTAAATAGCCTACTAGTCAGAGAGCTACAAACTTTGTGGAATGAACACAACATACAGCTAAATATTTTACAAAATACAGAGAACAAGAAGCCAAGCATTTGAAATCACATTTACAATTGCAGGTTGGGATCTGGAGGAACAAGAAACTGCTCCATATAAATGGTGTATTGAAAAATGCCCCTCTCAAAATCTGTCCCAAGTCATTTTCAGGTAAACCATTCATTCATACGTCACAACAAAATGACCCCAGTACGAATATCATTGTTTTAGCCTGAAATGGCTAGTAGGAGGCACAGTTTAGTCTATATATCTGCCAATTTGGTCCTCAGAAACACCTTAACGCAGTAGGAATCTGATTAAAGAGCTCCGTTAGTGTCATAGTGGAGTCCGACAACAGAGTGAATCTGGCTTAGTGACATCAGAGAGTCACAACACTACTGACCACAGAGCTGTGTGATCGGATTTCTGACTTCAAATCCATCCCAGAAAGGATCAACATTTATCCTTTTCCTCATTACTTTATTCACATGATTATTTGAATCAGTATTTAATCTCTGAAGGGATTTTGACGGATGAATAAACGTGAAACATTACCTAATTTCGGATTATGTTTAGGAATGTAATTTTCCAGAAAAGTCTGTGCGCGCGAAAGGGTCTTTGATCTCTATAGGGTATATGCGGAAGTATGCTAAAGGACTTTTCATTTGCCAGTAACCTGGGTTAAGCGCTTCTGGTGAACTGTGTGACACTGCAAAATCGGCACGTTTGAGGTCTGTTTACTGTAAAAATCAGCGATCTTCAGGTTGTACAAGAAGCACTGCATTAAACCACATTTTCCCCCGGCATGTGTTTATAATACGAGCATTTATTTTACCTCAGTATAGTCAATGGAGCTTCTGCGCTAGCCTGACGGGCGCGTTCGAGTAAATGACTTTTTGCCTTGTTTTACACTTGAGCAACTAAATAAATGCCAAAATCTGATTGTATTTTAAATAAATTACAACATCGATGCTGTAAAAGGAACCCTTTAAAAGTCACATTAACCATTCACCGGAAGTGTATCAGTATGGGACGAAACACCAGTGGTGTAAAGTACTTCAGTAAATGGACTTTCTTACTTTACTTAAGTATTTTTTTGGCTAATTTGTACTTGTACTGAGTATTAAAATAAAATCAACTTTTACTCTCTACTTGATTACATTTTTGATTGAATATGTACTCTTCACTACATTTGATCGGACACATTGTTACTCGTTACATTGTGATTGCGCGCGACAAGTCGCGATCTTTATCTACCAAGGCTAATTTGTTAGCGGACGAGGCGATATCGCCATCTGCAGGGTGCTGAAGGTACTGTATGCTATTTATGAGCTTAAACACCTGGGGCCTCATGTATCAACGCTGCGTACACACGAAAACTTTGCATACGCCAGGTTTCACGCTCAGAATCGCTCACGTTTGGATTTACTAACGATGAAATGATTGTGGGAATGTGCGCAGCTCCACGCCAGCTTTATGGCAGGCGTACGCACAATTTTTGTGCGTGTCTGTTTTGTTTCCATTGGCGACTCCTAGAGGCAGTTGTGTTAAATTGCACTCTACAAAGTGTCCGAGCCTTGCAATGGCAGCTGTATGAGACGGGTTCATGATCATCTAGCAGGTATATAAGGTTTCCATGCCATGCAGTTGACCAGCTAAACATTAAAGCGCAATTTGCAGCGGTCGCCTGTTTTCCCAATGTAATCTGAGTGATCTACTGCACGCACATTGCTATAAAGACACTATCTGAAGATGAATTTGCATACGTGAATCAGAAACATTTCCATTCACTAAATGTGCAAATAAAATATGATGCACAAACTTTTTAATGATTCCTACTTGTCTTTCTCGTGATAAATAGTAGGCAAAATATGATATGTAGCGGGGGGGAAAAAAAAGAGTTCATCAGACGCTGGGTTCGAACCGAGTTCATGCTCGAACGTGTCAAAACATGATCACATGCGTCTTACGAGCTGCGCCACTGAGACTGTTCAGAGTGCTGCAACAGTTTACAGATATAAACCACACTATTTTTTTTTTAAATGCACTCAGTGCGATGTTCAGACCCAACTGTGTTAACCGTATCAGCTAAACTCTCCCACTCTATTTTTTTTCTTTTGTTGTTAATTCCGGAGAACAAACTTGCAAATAACACCGCTTTTCTCCGGTCTACCTCCGAAAGCAGCACCTCCAATTCACATTCTGTTCAAAGTTTCTCTTTTTACTTGCTTTTGCCTTTGCTTTTTCGTTGGGTTTTGCCATTAGCATAGTCATTAGCATATTCATACGGGGGCGGAGGCAGGGAGGGGTTTTGCGCTCGTGCATGTTGCGCTCAGTTTCACGTTCATTCGGATGTACAAAAGAATATGCGTGAGACTCGCACTACGCACATTTACAGCTTTGTGCGTACGCAATGTTTTAGTAAGATATCCACGCAAGTCTTCGTACATGAGGCCCCAGGTCTCACTGGAAAAAGAGACAGAACTGTCTTCTCCTGGCTAAATAAAGGAAATAATAATAATAATAATAATAATAATAATAATATGCCCCAACAACCGTTACAAATATGGGTTCAACCGATAGAATACATAACAATTATATATATATATATATATATATATATATATATATATATATATATATATATATATATATATATATATATATAAAGGAAAATAAATAAAAAGGTTTCGCCTAATAAAATCAATTTACTGATCACATCGGTGTTATTGTGCGTATTAAAGGGTTAAAAGTGTGTTCATTTTTTTTTTTTTACTTTAAAGGGTCACGAAACACTAAAACACATTTTTTGAGCTGTTGCCAGTCGTATATGTGTCCCACACTGCTAAAAACACTATTAGGACACCTATATTTCACTAAAAAGTGTAAATTGGTTGTTTTTGCGTTATTTCAAGCAAATTCGTACTTCTGGTTTGAAACGAATTTTTGAAGCTGCGTCACGGTCATGACATAATAGCGTGTATTCCAGCGTGCAGACTGGACGTCTGTGCCAGAGTGAGTCTTATTACGTCTTACAGTGTGATGCATTAATGCATGAGTAAGGCTTGGTTCAAACCAATCAGCGCGCTCTATTGTGCAACTTCATTAATATTCATTACTGTCACAGTGTTTAGACGACAGATACGCCACGTTGTGTTGGCAAAACAAGCGTGAAGTGTTGCTTTTATAGTTTGCTGCAGTTAAGTTTTGTTTTCATTTTCTCTCTGTGAGAGCTCAGACTCACGTGTGGATTAACTGTGTACGCGACGCTCGACAACAATAACTTACGTGTCTAAGGAGGATTATTGTTTACCTGAGAGCTGTTCTGATCTGCTAACGCTGAGATCCGGATTCGCTTGTAGTCTCCTCTTAATAAAGACGCGGCTCTAGTTGCTGTGGATTGTCCTGTCTCTACAGATTTGGTAAGTGAGCGACCAGTGCTCTTTGTTTATTCAGTTCGTATTTTATTCGGATCGAAAAAACTATTGCTCCGAGTGTAAACAAGTTAGCACTACAACCAAACTATAACCTCATGTTGGATTTTGTGACTGGAATAACACACGCGGCTTTCTGACGCTACCTGCCGTGTGCATCTAAGTTTCCGGGAAATGCTGAGTTTTTTTTCTCTCATTCGCCGTGCGGTATCAAACATTGCATGAAAATACACGCTTAGAGCAGTTCCTCGAATCAAATATCTTGTTTGTCGCGAGGGGCATGAATGAATTCCCTGAATGAAAGAGCCAAACTGCATTTAGTAATTTGGCAAATAATTCGACTACAGATGTCCATGTAAACACAGTCACTTTGTCCGCTGTGGTTGTGTGTTTTGACTCTGAAATTCAGCGTGCCCAAATAGACACTCTTCCTCCGACACTCCCCCCTAAACAGAGCTGGACACGCCCACTTTTCTGACTTTTTCCAAAGTAGAGGTGTGAAAACACCCTGCTGAAACGAGGGGGTTTCATGCCCCTTTAATTATTCAGCGAGTACTCCGCGTACCACTATAAGAAAGCCTGCGTATCACTAGTGGTACACATACCACAGTTTGAGAACCACTGTTTTAGTAGATATGTGAGACTTTTAATTGTAAAAAAGTGGTTTATTAATTTGTTTTACATTTTAGTTATTATGCTCCACAAATGATTTCACATAAATCAAGATTTTAAATAATTATGTGTGGAAATAGGTCGAAAATATGATTTGAGAAAGAAAACCAACCTGTTTGTTCCTCTGGATCTTCATGTTTTACTGTGAATGTGTCTTCGATGATCAGGTCTTCACTCTCCTCTTTAATAAACGCCATCTTTATAACAGTATGAAGATTAGTCGCTTCAGCAGGAGTTTTCCTCTGTGTTTGGACACTGTTAAAAATGAGAACAATGAACAGAAATAAAAGAAACACACACTCAGTCTGCGTCTCAATCAGCTCTCTAGTTCACTTCTCACTGTGGTGAGAGAGACTTAAACCACCTGAGTAGAAAACAAACAGTTAAATCCTGCTCTACAAATGTATAAATACACTACGATACATATGTTTAACATAACTTTTGTTCTCTAACAACGCCGTTGGTCAGTAAAAAGTGTCACGGCACATGTTTTGTTGATTAGCATACAGCTTTCATTAGCGGTGATTCGAGCGAATCAAATATGAATCATTTTCATAAAAGGTTGATTCAATTGACTCGGAGTCTACTCGCCCATGACTGAACTCATGTTTACCAACAGATTCACGATACAAAGAGAGAAATGAGACGCGCTTTAAAAGTCGTCAGATGAGGTGTTGCGTTACATTTTCTGTCAAATAATTAGTTTAGCATCGCCTATATCTGAACAAATGTTTCGTTTTTAAACCTTAAACTCTTCAAAGCACAAACCTTCTGTGGGACCGCTCCGGACCGCACACAGCAGTACGACGCCGTCTAGTGACGTCACATAACCACACCAAAACAAAAGTCTAATCACGTTGAATCTTATTGAATAATATTCGTACAAAGCAAAAATGCTTTTCTTACTTACATTCTTACTTAGATATTTTGTCTTGTTTCTAGTCCAAATATTTTCAAATTCTTAAATCAAGAAGCATTTTAGAGACAAGCAAAACATATGGTCTTGTTTTAAGAAATAATATGCCAAAATGAAGTGAGTTTTTCCTTAAATCAAGCAACATCATCTGCCAATGGGTAAGCAAAGTAATCTTATTTTTCAATTTGTGATAAGATTATTTTGCTTCCCCCCATTATTTTGCTTGATTTAAGGAAAAACACTTCATTTTGGCATATTATTTCTTAAAACAGGACAATATGTTTTGCTTGTCTAGAAAATGCTTCTTGATTTGACAACTTTTAGATATTTGGACTAGAAACAAGACAAAAAATCTAAGTAAGAAAAGCATTTTTGCAGTGTATAATAGGGCATGTGCACACAGACTTTTAATTCTCCGCCAGCCAGCCTGACGGGTTCCAGTGAACTGTCTTTCCATTACAAGATCGATGTTTTAAGATCTGTTTTCTTTAAAAATCTGTGATCTTCCCAGCCTAGATATACGATATAAAGTTTATTTTCCCCCGACCATGTCTTTAACCCTTTCATGCATGAATTGTAAAAAACTTTAATATGCCACTAAAATTTAAATCTATTTTCATTTTTACAAAATTTTGTTTTATTTAAAAAAATATTGAACACCAACACTCATTCACACACATACACTACGGACAATTTAGCTAACCCAATTTACCTACAGCGCATGTCTTTGGACTTGTGGGGGAAACCGGAGCACTTGGAGGAAACCACGCCAAGACAGGGAAAACACGCAAACTCCACACAGAAACGCCAACTAAACAAGCCGCGGCTCGAACCAGCGACCTTCTTGCTGTGAGGCGAACGTAGCAGCCCATAACAGTAGTTTCATCCTTATCTTACTACATGTAAAATCATCTCAGTTGTTGTATTTTAAGTTGAAACTGGTTTCTTTACAGCATGCAGGACATTATCCTTATTTAGTGTGAAAGCCTTCAAAGCAGTCAGGACACAGGGCAACCTGACATTGGACGCAGATGTATCTGGCCAGTGCTTCCCAATGCCATACCGCACCACAGGGGGAGTGTTCACCTGGTTTCTTCTCTTGGGTGTCTGGGTCAGAAATTAAATTAATTGCCATTTAATGTGATTTTAAATTACTATTTATGTCGATATATTTGTTAAATGTCTGTTTTATTACAATACAAGACAATTTATAACATTTAAAAAAAGCAGAATAGATATACTTGCAGCCTTCAGAAATAAAAAGACTTTCATGCAATCATTATGGACAGTTGGTTTTTGGTAAACTACATTTTACCCTAATTTTATTTTTTTTTAATTACTAACATATTCGTCATACTTTAGTGTTCATGCTGATTTTTTTATACCTGGATTGACCTCCTTGAATAAACGTTTTTCACAGGCATGCCTGAGGCATTTAGCACACAGCCATCTTTGTCAGCCATCTTGGATTATTGATGTCATCAAGCTAAGAATAACTGGAATGCAAGAGAGTAGCCACTGTGACAATCCTGCTGACAGTCTACCGACACTTAGGGGCGGCTGACGTGAAACTGACAATTCGACACAGTGTTGAGATCCCGAAGCGCAAGTGTTTAAAAACACTGCATCGAAGCATGATCCGAAACACCCAGGTCACGTGACTAAAGTGTATTTAAACACCTGTGCTGTGTCCCAATCCGCTTACTATGCGTCGTAAGTATTATTTGAAAATAGAATTAATATGTACCATAGTACAAACCATAGTATGTTGAAAAGAGTGTGCCAGAAAATCCCGGAAGGTTTGCTATTTCCAGGTAAAAAAAATTGTGTAGAAGCGTCCCTACTCTAACCACGAATATTGCCCGAAATACATTGAGCATTGGACGTGAATTTGATTGGAACTTCAAACAGGGCCGGAGCAAGCTGAACTGCCGCTCTAGGCAAAGGACGGTCACGCCGCCCTCAACTCTAAAGTGAGGGGGGGCGGACGCCGCCCTCTTTATTTTGCTGCACTAGACACGGATATAACTGAGGGCACGGGTGGTGAGGGTAGTGTCGCGGACGCCGCCCTCTCTATTCTGCCGCCCCAGACGCGGATATAACGGAGGGCGCGGGTGGTGAGGTTAGTTTCGGGAACGCCGCTCTCTCTATTCTGCCGCCCTAGACGCGGATATAACTGAGGGTACGGGTGGTGAGGGTAGTGTCGGGGACGCCGCTCTCTCTATTCTGCCGCCCTAGACGCGGATATAACTGAGGGCACGGGTGGTGAGGGTAGTGTCGTGGACGCCGCCCTGTCTGTTCTGCCGCCCTAGACGCGGATATAACTGAGGGCGCGGGTGGTGAGGGTAGTGTCGGGGACGCCACTCTCTCTATTCTGCCGCCCCAGACGCGGATATAACTGAGACGCGGGTGGTGAGGGTAGTGTCGCGGACACCGCCCTCTCTATTCTGCCGCCCCAGACGCGGATATAACTGAGGGCGCGGGTGGTGAGGGTAGTTTCGGAAACGCCGCTCTCTCTATTCTGCTGCCCTAGACGCGGATATAACTGAGGGTGCGGGTGGTGAGGGTAGTGTCGGGGACGCCACTCTCTCTATTCTGCCGCCCCAGACGCGGATATAACTAAGGGCGCGGGTGGTGAGGGTAGTTTCGGGAATGCCGCCCTCTCTATTCTGCTGCCCTAGATGTGAATATAACTGAGGGCGCGGGTGGTGAGGGTAGTTTCGGGAACGCCGCTCTCTCTATTCTGCCGCCCTAGACGCGGATATAACTGAGGGCGCGGGTGGTGAGGGTAGTTTCGGGAACGGCGCTCTCTCTATTCTGCTGCCCTAGACGCGGATATAACTGAGGGCGCGGGTGGTGAGGGTAGTGTCGCGGACACCGCCCTCTCTATTCTGCCGCCCCAGACGCGGATATAACTGAGGGCGCGGGTGGTGAGGTTAGTGTCGGGGACGCCGCTCTCTCTATTCTGCCGCCCCAGACGCGGATATAACTGAGACGCGGGTGGTGAGGGTAGTGTCGCGGACACCGCCCTCTCTATTCTGCCGCCCCAGACGCGGATATAACTGAGGGCGCGGGTGGTGAGGGTAGTTTCGGAAACGCCGCTCTCTCTATTCTGCTGCCCTAGACGCGGATATAACTGAGGGTGCGGGTGGTGAGGGTAGTGTCGGGGACGCCACTCTCTCTATTCTGCCGCCCCAGACGCGGATATAACTAAGGGCGCGGGTGGTGAGGGTAGTTTCGGGAATGCCGCCCTCTCTATTCTGCTGCCCTAGATGTGAATATAACTGAGGGCGCGGGTGGTGAGGGTAGTTTCGGGAACGCCGCTCTCTCTATTCTGCCGCCCTAGACGCGGATATAACTGAGGGCGCGGGTGGTGAGGGTAGTTTCGGGAACGCCGCTCTCTCTATTCTGCTGCCCTAGACGCGGATATAACTGAGGGCGCGGGTGGTGAGGGTAGTGTCGCGGACACCGCCCTCTCTATTCTGCCGCCCCAGACGCGGATATAACTGAGGGCGCGGGTGGTGAGGGTAGTGTCGCGGACACCGCCCTCTCTATTCTGCCGCCCCAGACGCGGATATAACTGAGGGCGCAGGTGGTGAGGGTAGTTTCGGGAACGCCGCTCTCTCTATTCTGCCGCCCTAGACGCGGATATAACTGAGGGCGTGGGTGGTGAGGGTAGTGTCGCGGACACCGCCCTCTCTATTCTGCCACCCCAGACGCGGATATAACTGAGGGCGCGGGTGGTGAGGGTAGTGTCGGGGACGCCACTCTCTCTATTCTGCCGCCCCAGACGCGGATATAACTGAGGGCGCGGGTGGTGAGGGTAGTTTCGGGAACCCCACTCTCTCTATTCTGCTGCCCTAGATGCGGATATAACTGAGTGCGCGGGTGGTGAGGGTAGTGTCGGGGACGCTGCTCTCTCTATTCTGCCGCCCCAGACGCGGATATAACTGAGGGCGCGGGTGGCGAGGGTAGTTTCGGGGACGCCGCCCTCTCTTTTCTGCCGCCCCAGACGCGGATATTACTGAGGGCGCGGGTGGTGAGGGTAGTTTCGGGAACGCCACTCTCTCTATTCTGCTACCCTAGATGTGAATATAACTGAGGGCTCGTGTGGCGAGGGTAGTTTCGGGGAAGCCGCCCTCTCTATTCTGCCGCCCTAAATGCGTATATAACTTAGGGCAAGGGTAGTTTTCAGACGCCGCCTTCTTTATCCTGCCACCCTTGACGCGGATATAACGGAGGGCACAGGTGGCGAGAGAAGTTTTGCGGACGCCGCCCTCTCTATTCTGCCGCCTAGGTCGCCTCTATGGACGCGCCGGCCCTGACTACAAACGTGTGTGAAAAGCGTAACTAAACTACAAACATGATGGACGCACAAGACCAACAGTCAAGTAAGTCAATATTTAGCCCACTGGAAAATATTTAAATCGCATTATCTGTGTTATATTTCATCTGCAACAACAACACTGACCACACGACCTTGAAAGACTCGTGAATGGGAGATTAACCTGCTGCTGCTTCTCCAATAAGTTAGGACAATTCTAAGGGCCCATACATTTAGGAGGGCCCCAGAGTCATTATAAAGGGCCCGCCAATATCCGCAATCTCCCCTAACCCCCATCACCAACCCCCAAAACAAAAACAAATATTGTCTCGAAACAAAAATGATACAAGAACAGAGCATTTCAAACTGACATTAAGCATTCAAAATAGCTATATCAGCCTGGACTCAAACCCACTATGCCAGCATGGTAGTCAGGAACCCTCACCGCTCCACTAAATCACCTGAAGGTTTGATACTACAAAGTGGGGTTTAATTCCTTAATTTGCTCGACTGTTCTTTGCTGAAGCTGTACCAGAGCAATACATAAAAAAATGACCACTTGGTGTCACTGTAGAGTAGGGTTTCGAAACGTTTCGAAGCTTCGCCACATTTGCTTCGACTGTTTCAATGTTTCATGAAGCCTCGCTTTGCCCACTACTCCTGACACTGGCCTCAAGTGGTTTGGAGAAAATTAATATGATTAATGACATGCATGAAAGTGTTAATGAATTTTTTTTACCTCAGTATTTTGAATGGAGTTTCTGCACTCGCCTGCTGATCCTGCTAGCGGTTACGCGGTCTTTTATCTTGTTTTACACATGAACAACTAAATGAATGCTGAAGTCTATTTAACTTAATGTGTTTTAATTACATTATGATGTTGATGCTGTAGAAGGAACCTTATAAAATTTTAAATAGTCACGGAAACCTTTAACCGGAGGTTTACTATTAGCTGAAAAACACAAGCACAAGCGCATTGAAAAACCTTTTTTAAAAAGTGAGAAAACGGACTTTAAACTACAGATTCCCAAAGACATCACCTTTTTAAGCTTCTGGCTTTTGTCTGAGAGAAAAAAAGTAAAGCATTTAATTTTAATATTATTTAAATTAGCATAAACTTAACATGTATTTGTGGTTGCAGAGAAAACTACTTCACTTGTTAACTATTTAATTTGTTAACTCATTAAAAGTCACCGCAGTGTAAACATCTTCTCACTAAAATACCAGCCTGATCTCATGAGAAAACGAATTTGACGTTTTGTCAGTTTATTAGCTAATTAGTACGAGTTCTGTCGTACGAAATTGTACGATTTTAAAAAGGAGGCGTGGCACCTAACCCCACCCCTAAACCCAACCGTCATTGGGTGATGAGCAAATCGTACTAAATTGTACGAATTAGTTCGTACAAATTCATACGAATTAGCCTCTAAATCAAAAAGTTACGAATTGCTGTGAGATAGCATTGAAAATACACATAAGTGAGTACACCGCCCTTACATTTTTGTATTAAATCATATCTTTTCACGTGAAAACACTGAAGAAATACACTTTGCTACAACGTAGTGAGTATACATCCTGTTTAACAGTGTAAATTTGCTGTCCCCTCAAAATAGCAACACACGGCCATTAATGTCAAAACCGCTAACAACAGAAGTGAGTATACCCTTAAGTGAAAATGCCCAAAATGGACCCAATGTGCCAATATTTTGTGTGGCCACCATTATTTTCCAGCCCTGCCTTACCCCTCTTGGGCATTGAGATCATCAGAGCTTCACCGGAAAACCATGAAAAGTAAAAATAAATAAAATATTTCATTACATAAGAAGTAGAGCCCCGGATAAGCGGCAGACAATTCATGAATAGATGGATGAATGTAAATGCATGGGGAGAACATACCTGTTCATTGTTCATGACTTTGTTGTTGTCCTTTCTCATCTTCCACCACAAGAACATCTGAACATGAGTTAAAATAAAACTAATTATTCACCCTCAAGTGGTTATAAACCTTTATGACTCTCTTCTTCTTTTAAACATGTATCATTTTATTGTATATTGGGGGTAAAATATAAATTCTTTGTAAACAGTAAAACAGATATGCATAGACCCACATCTCTAATGAAATGTGGTCAATTTGGGGTGTCTGCCTAATGCCGAGTTCAGACTGCATGATTTTCAAAGTAGTCGTGTCACAGATGTTTTCACACTGCTTGACTATCTGGGCTAGCGTTTCGTCACTGCTTTGTTTACACTGCAAGATGGATCGGCGACAGGGACTTTCACATTGCATGACTTTACTATAGGAAGAATCGCCGACAACTTCGTCCAAACTACGTCTCATAGCCAAAAACACGTCATATATCTTTTGTTATTAACTACATAATGAGAAAGAAGCCTTTAATGGGGGAGAACATGTAAATGTTTGCACACCTGGGTGAAAGCTCCAGCTGAAATCTCCAGGAGCAAGGTTGGTCATCCCTGATTTATACTTTTGCACTTCACTTTATTCTTTCTGTAATTGTTTTAGAAGTCATCTGCTTTTGGATATTTGCTTCTGTTCTTCACTGTGGGACTTCATATGATAGCTCAGGCTGCCTCTGTGATAGAAACTCTTTCCACACTGACCACATACAAACGGCTTCTCTCCAGTGTGAGTCCTCATGTGAGACTTGAGGTAGGTTTTACTGGTATAGTTTTTACCACACCGCGTGCAAGTGTACGTCTGCTCTCCAGTGTGTGCTCTCCTGTGGACTTTAAGGACACTTCTCTTTGCAAAACTCTGTCCACACTCAGAGCAAGCGTAAGGTTTCTTCTCAGTGTGAGTCCTCATGTGAGCATCAAGAGAGCTTTGACTTGTAAGGTTTCTGCCGCACTTTGTGCAAGTGTAGGGTCTCTCTCGGGCGTGAGTCCTCATGTGGTGATCAAGGTTGCCTTTCTGTGTAAAACTCTTCCCGCATTGAGAGCAAATGTAAGGTCTCTCTCCAGTGTGAACTCTCATGTGGACTTCAACTTGTTGTTTGTGATTGAAACTCTTTCCGCACTGTTGGCAGACGAAAGGTTTCTCTCCGGTGTGAATTTTCATGTGTTGTTTAAGGTTTAGGTTTAGAGTAAAACTTTTCCCGCATTGTGGGCAAACGAATGGCTTGTCTTCATTGTGAACTGCCATGTGCTTTTCAAGTCTTTGTTTATGGATGTATCTCACTCCGCACTGAGGGCAGGCATAAGGCTTCTCTCCAGTGTGAAGTCTGATGTGATGTCGAAGGATTATCGATTGCCTGAAACTCTTCCCACACTGATCACACGAGAAAGGCTTCTCTCCGGTGTGAATTCTCATGTGAACAGCAAGGTATTGCTTCCGTCTGAAACTCTTTCCACACTCAGGACACAAGTGAGGCTTCTCTCTGGTGTGAGCACTCATGTGGACTCTAAGGTTGTGTTTTTGAGCAAAACATTTCCCACACTGACTGCAGGTAAAGTTACCAGTAGATTTGGTTTCCTGATCTCTTTTATGAGGTGAAGTCCTTTTTATTTTTGTGGATTTTTCAACGGTCTTTAAATCTTGATCTTTCTCTTCCATTTCATTCAGTTCTTGAGTCTCTTCTTTCAGCATCGTCAGCTCTAAAGAGAAATATAAAACAGGTTAACCCAAAAGCAACACATGTAAAAACCAACATGAAAGAATGCAAGTATTAAAACCAACAACAGCTCTTACAAGTACTAAGATGCTAAAAGAGGCGTTACATATAACCTAAGAGTGTCTTAATACAGGATGGCCTTTGGTCCTCAAAAAGTCCTGAATTCAGAATCATTCATTTATTCATTCATTTTCTTCCCTGCTAAAAAAATCCAGCTTAAACCAGCCTAGGCTGGTTTTAGCTGGTCGACCAGCCTTATTTTAGAGGGGTTTTGGCCACTTCCAGGCTGCTTTCCAGCCATTTCCAGCCTGGTCTTAGCTTGGCTGGATGACCAGCTAAAACCAACTTGATCAGCCTAGCCAAGCTGGGAGTCCAGCCAAAACCAGCTATATCCAGCTTCAACCAGGCTGGTTGAGCTGGTTTTAGCTGGATTTGGCTGGTCATTTTCCAGCCTGCCCAGCTAGGACCAGGCTGGAAATGGGTGGAAACCAGCCTGGAAATGGCCAAAAACCCTCTAAAACCAGGCTGGTCGACCAGCTAAAACCAGCCAAACAGCCTAGGCTGGTTTAAGCTGGATTTTTCAGCAGGGTTTTCGGCTTAGTCCCTCTATTAATCTGGGGTCGCCACAGCGAAATGAACCGTCATCTTATCCAGCACATGTTTCACGCAGAGGATGCCCTTCCAGCCAAATCCCAACATTGGGAAACACAAACAGACTCTTGCATTCACACATACACACTACGGCCAATTTTGCGTACCCAATTCACCTAAAGCCCATGTGTTTGGACTGTGGGGGCACCCTGAGGAAACCCATGGGAACATGGGGAGAACATGCAAACTCCACACAGAAATGCCAAGTGACCCAGCCGGGGCTTGAACAAGCGACCTTCTTGTGAGATGTGAGGCGATCGTGCTACCCACTGCACCACCGTGACACCTGAATTCAGCATCGATAGGTCTTAAATATTTTGGTAATGTTACCACAAAAAAAAAAAAGAAACGTCATTCAGATGAACCCACTGATATCATTGGACAGCACGTTTTTGCTGATATATCTGATCCATATCAATGCATGCATTACACTTACATTACCAAGGCAACAACTGATGCATTATTATTACATTTAACCTCATGAAAACGAATCCAAGCTCCGCTTCCTTGGGCTAAGGTAGTGCACACTTGTGTGTTTTAAACATTTTATTACCTTCTTACATCTACAAGTTACAAAACACATCCAAAGTGCCGACCACTGATCACTGGTTGACGCGGTGTAATTCCAGAGTTCAGACTCTGGTATTACACACAGACACAATAGCCCCTTTCACACAGTGATACCGGTAAATATATGGAAAATTTCCGGAACGACTTTATCGGTAAATTCAAAAAAGAGCTGTTCACAGAGGCGAGGACGTTACGGAATTTTTCCGGAAAAGACCGTTCACACATCCATTCCAAAAAAGCGGTAAATTCTGACATCATTCACCAGAAAAGACCTCTAAGCGGCTGTGCTTGTATTTGTAAACATTTGACTATATCACAAACTCTGTGGATGAATCAGTATTGTGAACAACTTCGATGAAAACATATAGAGAAACACTTTCGCATGTCCAGATGTACATGATATGTGTGTGTGCTGGCGCTCATAGACTGTTTATGGGCACACGCAAAGCTTGAAGGTAAACAAACAACGGCTTATCATAAGCATCTTATCGATAATTAATTACACGGTTGGCATTAAGATGAACATATAAACGTTATCTGACTAATTTCTAGCAGCTAAATGTGCCTGGAAAAATCTTCAAAGGCTTTTATTCTCATAAACCGCGTGGACGTGAATGCCTCTGACTGTTCTGATTGGCTAACGCAGACGTCTCACGTCAGCACGTTCTAGACGTGCACGCGCTCTTTCCGGCAATCTTCCTTTTGCGTTCACACAGCGCAGCATTCCGGCAAATTACCGGTAATCTTACAACTTCTCTTTGCGGAAAATAGCCAGAACGGATTTACCGGTATTTACAAAAAGAGCCTGTTCACACATACACACCTTTCCGGAAAATTGACGGTAATTTTCCGGAAAGGTGTGTATGTGTGAAAGGGGCTGATGGCTGTTTCTCAATATGCATTCTTCAGCGATCTTGCCTCCTCGTGTAACATCATCATCAACTGCCAGAGTTTGGTACCAAGACTCAAGAACGGAGGACGCGTGAAACTTCTTGTCTTTGTGATATCGAGAAGGCTTCGATGCAGACTTGAGCACCAAACTCGCTCTAGAAGTCCCAGAAGCGACTGGAGGTGGGAAGCGCAGCATTTTGTATAGGTTTATTATTAAAGTTCAGAGATAGAACTTATTTACCTCAGGAGTTTCATTAAATTAAGTGGCGAATATATGAAAATCTTAATAAAGGAATAAACACATTAAGGGTGTTTATTTGCTGAAATTCGTATTGAAATCTGTTTAATTTATATTGTGCCAAGTATATTTGTAAGGTCTTTATGCAAAGTATATATTTTGAAAACGGGAAAAACAAAAAAATCGTATGAATTCTGTAATGTTTAAATAATTTTCCATTAAAAACACGTGAAGGTCACGTGACTATCAGGAAGAACGCAGCATCTCATTCTTCACATGACGCGTTCTCTGTTCTCGTGGTCTATCGAGTTCTCTCTTCCGAGGTGACCTGGCAAGACCGCTCTTCACAAGAACGCAAGTCCGTTCTCTGCGTTCCTGGAATTGAGAAACAGTCAATATATCACAGGTCTCACACTCAATTCCCCAACCCTAATCTAGCTAATCAAGGTAATCCAAGACTGCTAGACATCTTGATAGGTTTTATCAGCTTTGTTTGATTAGGATTGGAGCAAAACTGGCAGAGCTGCGGCCCTCCTGGAATTGAGCTTGAGACCTATGCAATATATTATATATTGGGACCTGACTGATCACTTCAAATATAGACCCAAACACGCACAGGTTTCGAGTCCAATGTGAAGACCTCTACTCGCAAGGAGACAGTAAGCTGAAGTCCCAAAAACAGAGCTTACATAACACAGTCGTGCCACTCTGTGGTATGACTCCACTCTTGCACTAACCTGGCTTATTATTAGGATTCCCGTGGCATTAGGCCATCACTCCACTAGCAGTTTTGCGCTACTTCACCGATTTTGATCCCACCCCAAACATTATTTTAAACCCGTATGATGAAATTAGCTACTCAAAATTATCTAGTTTTCCCCACATTAAAAGCTGACAGATGCTAACGTTGTCTTAAATGATGCTCAACTCACACAAATATGTTACAATTTTTTAAAAACTTGAACCTTTAAGGGCAGCCTGAACCAACAGGTGGCGATAATGACACTTACGTGCTGGGGGTTTTGGGGGGTAGGTTGAGCATTATTCTATCAAAAGATGCCTCAAAACGGGGGATCACCAAACTTGTTCCTTGAGGGCCGGTGTTGGTGACGTATGTAATACTGTTTCCGGGTCCAAGCCGCCATTCATTTGAGTGGAGAAATCATTCGTTTATGATCACGTTTTATTCCTATCACATATTAAAGTTAATTGTATATAAAATCATAGTGTTCACAACAATCTCTGGGCTTGCTGCATAATGCTGTGTTCACACCACACGCGGAACGCGCGGATAAATCACGCTATTTGCGCGTAAATAGTCGCATGAACATTTGAGGTTACTCGCTTCATTCGCGTGTCAAATTCACCTCAGAACAGACGCGGATTCGCGTGATGGGCAGGGCTTCTGTCTGCCCCGTGACTCTAGCTTCATAGCTAAAGGGCTAACATGGATTTTATGAAGAAAATAACAGTGTTTATGTGCTTTATGAAGGA